ACTTGAATTACAGTTATACTTAGATATATCACGAACTTTAAACATTGTACCTTCTATAGTCTTAAAACAGTAACTAAAAAAATGGGTAAAATTGAACGTGCCCCATATTTAAGTATATCCATTGCTGAAAATACTCCTTACTGAATGTAGATGTTGTGATACAATAAATGGTAAATTAACATTAAATAACGTTATATTTTTGGTATTTATAATCGACACATGAAACATGGACTCTCATTAAAATAGTAAATAAGGTTCAGTGCAAATGAAGATAAGGCCCTCAGATATTAAAATTGAACTTCTAAAAGGTAACAAATAGGGGCTGGGGATTTAGCTCAGCGGCAAAGCGCCTGCCTTGCAAGCACAAGGTCGTGAGTTCGGTTCCCGGTACCGGAGAAAACCAATAAAAGGTAACAAATAAAGGGTGATTAAGATAATCACTTCACTCTTTTTTCCATTGCAGCCTACTGTTAAATCTGAAAATAATGTAGGTAGATAGATTTGAAAGATTGCTAGATCAGGTAGATACATAGAACCTTCTAGTGGATTACTACATTAAAGTTTATTCTGACAATAAAGGCCCCTTGTGCCTAATATTCAGTATTATGAAAATTCGTGATTTTGTTCAGTCATTAACTGGTAAATATTTTGCTCTTATATATTAGCTAACATGTTCATTTCTGTGCTTGTTTTAACAGCATCTCAGCTGCCGTGTGCCTCCACCTCAGAAGGGAAATAATACGCTTTTGCAGGCTGCCTGTGGGGTGTCTCTACAACTTCCCATCACACACTGTCTATCCAGCTTTCTCCAAAACTACAGGTATAACATGACCTTGACAGCATCTTCTTCCATAGTATTCATTTAGGACAGTTATTAATAACAAATAAATTGACCATCTTTTAGTCCTTTGGTTCTGGTGTGAGCACATCCTTCATTTACAGATTTTACTTAGAAGTTAAAATCAACAGCCATTCCCATTAGAGTCTTCAGACACTCCTTCATTATAGAGGCTTTGGCAGCATCTTGTCACGTCCTGGAGTCCTGTGTACCTCTCATTTTGGCCTTTACTTACCCCAAACTTGTGGTGGAAGAAATTGCCCCCCATCTGCCATGTGTGATGATGCATGAATGTATTTCCAGCATTCAAGGAGGATGAGCTAGGAGGATTCAAGGTTCAAGCCCAACCTATGGAACTTAGCCATATAGCAAGACCCTGTCTCAAAATGAAAAATGAAAAAGGGGTTGAGGATGTAGCTCAGTGGAAAGGTTCAACCCCTGGATTCAATCTCTACTCCAGGAGGGAAAAATTGCTCCTCTCAGCCTTCTGCCATACATCATTAAAAGAACAATTGGCAGGCCACCTAGTGGGCTGTGCAGGAAACATGCCCCTACAGATGCTGAGCCTGAGACCATCCATACCCAGCTGCCCACTTTACTGTGGATCATGGATGCCCCACAAGCTTGACATAGGTACCAAGGCAGTCCTAAGTCCTAACACAGTATGGAACCCAATGTGGGCCCTCTGATATATTCTGCCTGCAACAGTGACTTTTCCTGTCCTCTGTCTATTGACACATCAGGGTATGTGAGGTCACTCCTCTCCTAGACCCTGTGGGATTCCAAAGAGATTCTTGGGATTGACTGTGTGAAAGACAGTGGGAGTTTGTGGACTGTCAGACATCACCACTAACCATCATACAGGGGATGGAGCTCAGTATCGTGTTGCTGTTTTTCATCTCTTTAGTCAGGATGGACCTAATAAAGAGCAGGATGCAGGAAGCAACACACTTGGCCAAACTTGAGACAGATGGACATCTTTAACATTGGATGCTGTGGACAACAGGTTGTCCCATTTTCACCCATACTATAAACTAGTGAGCAGTGGCTAAAGATTTTCTTCTTCAGGTAAAAAAAGGTCAAAATCAACCAAAACGTCTATGATATCGTGGGGTACACAGAATAGGAATCAGAACTGCACCTGCAGGGTGAGGCTGTAGCTCTGTGGTAGAGTTTGCCCAGCATGTGAGAGGATCTTAGTGAAATACCCAGTGCTGCGGGTGGGGAGAGTTAAAAGAAAAATAAAAAGCCTGCAGATGGCCCTATATAAACCACACACTGCAAGGCCTTAAAGGAACATTCCTCATTCCCTTCAGAGTTACTACATGCTGTTTTACTTTTGAAAAAACATACTGTATGGCCCTTGGAAGAGGTATTCAGTGGAACTTTCTTGTCTCTGGTAGGCCTTAGGTAACTATTTTGCAGTCGTAGTCATCTTCTCCACTTTTCAAATTCCACAATAACATAAACTCCAAATTCAGTATCTTGTCCCAATCTTTAACCTGTTCGTTTTTATTTCAGTTTTGTGGTCCTGGGGCCTTCACACTTAGCTACATCCTTAGACTTTTTATTCTTCTTTAAGACAGGATTTCACCTAGTTGCTGAGTTCCCTGGACTGCTCTAGACTTTGTAGTTTTTCTGCCTCAGGTTCCCAGAGTGCTGGGATTACAGGTGTGTGCTATCACACGTGACTCCTTAACCTGTTTCTATAAATTTTCCATCTTACGCAGTTCACATAAGAGCTAGAGGCCAGAGTGGGTACATCCTCCATTGGCACTTGTTAACCGTAGATTATCCCACAGGACAGGCAGGTGTTCATTTGACATGAGACTTACTTGAACCTAATCTTCCACCTAAAACAAATTTACGTGATATACAGTTACATACTCCTCTGTTGAGTGTTGGTCGTGGTAACGTTATGCTGTATATTTGCATTCATTTCTGATCTGGATACCCGTATCAGTGTGAGTGGGTGTCTTAGAAAGTTACCTAAGTCCCACATACCACATGAGTTCAGCCTGTCTTAAAACCTTGCAGCTGGATATGAGGCTATGCCATCTGAGGACCTCACAGTTAAAAATGAAGTCTCTATTGATGATGACAGTTGTAACTGCTCACTGAAACCTGCTCCCTAGTGATGCAGTAGACTGCTTCCCTGAATGTACAAATTACACACATAAGTTTTGTTCTTCTCTTTTGTAATATTGGGGATTGAACCCAGAGCCCTCATACTCACTAGGAAGTGCTTTGCCACGGAGCTACTTCCTCAACCCCTCCCCTTTGTGTGTGTGTGTGTGTGTGTGTGAGAGTGAGAGAGAGAGAGTGAGTGAGTGTGTGTGTGGTGGAGAGAGACACGGTCTCACTAAGCAGTTGAGCCTGGCCTTGAACTCACTGTGTAGCCCAGGCTGGCCTCAGACTGTGGCAGCCCTCCTGCCTCAGCCGTCAGTGCTGAGATTACAGGCGTGTGCCACCATGCCCAGCTCGTGTGTTTTATTGGGGATCAGCTCTACCACGGAGCTTACATCCTACATTCTTAGCCCTTTTATTTTTTTCTTTTGAGATAGGACCATGCTAATTTTCCAGCCTGGCCTCAACCTTGTGATTCTACAGCCTCAGTCTTTTGAGTAGCTGGGATCACATGGTTTGCTCTTTTCCATCAATTCACAGTCTGCTTAGCCCATGACCCAGGTATATTCTTTATTCTCTGCTAAGATATACACCACCCTCTACACTACTAGTAAATCTGGTAGGTTACTAAATAATAATGAAAATTAATGCTTTCCCTAAGAAACATGTATCTCTACTCTCTAACTTGCTCAGAAGACCACCCACTGATTGAAGTCTGGTACTGTGTCTTCCACCTTACCACCATGCCCTTGCGTGTCACACCATAACTACCATAATGCCTGTTTCCTTTTGGTTCAACACATTACCACATTCTGAAATTATTTTTTTTCCTTTTATTAACAGTACCCTTTAGCTGGGGCCCCAAATCTACAGCACTAGACCTTACATAGTTTTCTTTGCTGACTTGGGCCATGTTATCCTTAGTGAAACCATGCTCCTATGTGCAGTGGTCACTAAGCATTCCCATGGTTCTCTCACTGGGTACTTCCTTCCATCTGAAGGTTTCTGGGCAGAATGGAAATAGTGCAGTCCCCCTTATCCATGGCGATACTTTCCATCATGGTCATTGGTAGCTAAAATTGCAAACAGTACAGAAGAACGCTATATATACACTATGTTTTTAATGTAAATACAGTCTTTCTCAAAATACATTATCCTGTAGTCACCCTTTACTTTTTAGCGCTAAGGGTGCAACTGAAGTTCTTGTGCATGTTAGGCAAGTACTTTACCACTGAGTTATAACCCCAGCCCTCTCTACTTCATTTTTTAGACTCTAGTTAACTATGGGTAATAGACACTGGCAAGTGAAACTGAGTATGGAGGGCAGCTGTATTTAGTTCTGTGTTAACAGGACAAGCCTTGGTCAAAGGTCCTGCCATTATTGGTACCAGTTTACCAGCCTTTGTAAAACAAAGTCACATAACTGCCAACCAGCAAATTTGCCACCCCTTTAAAATCCTACTTAAGCTGGGGTTATAGCCCAGTGGCACAAGCGCCTGCCTGGCAAGCGCAAGGTCCTGAGTTCAGTTCCTGGTACCAAAAAAAAAAAAAAAATCCTACTTAAAAGAATTACATAAATACTGCTTAATTGGTGCAGGAGACATGGTCTGTTTTACAATAAGCTTGTGAGTCTATAGTTCAAATGGAATAGATAGCTGATGTGCACTTGACTAAGTATCGCTGTCTGCATTCTTTAGTTATGGGATAATCTATGAGGAATAGGCCAAGAGGTAAAGATGTGTCACAACATAACCAGCATCTTTCAGCAGCTTACCTTGAATTCTGACATGCTTGACCTGTGTTTTGGGTTTACATGGCAAAGTAGAGTATTTGGTTATAGGCTGTGTTCCAAACCTTCATCATATGCCCAGTAGGGTTCTTCTTAGTTGTCACCTTTATAAAAGATAACCTTTGGGGGGCATAGTCTGTCACCCTCAATTTTAACTACTCCACAACATAGGTATTGTGAAAAATGTTGATGAGCCAAACGTGAATGGATTGGTTTATAATGTTTTTAAAATTCATGTTTTCCTAGGGCCGGAGGTGTAGCCTTGCTATGGATCTTCAAGTTTTCAATGGAGAAAACCCCTACAAATTGGAGGAATATGAAAAGAGCTTCCAGTATTTTCCATGCCTTACTAATCCCATGGAAACCCACACTGAAGCAACACTCTGTGAATGTGAGGAGTGTTGGAGAGCATTTGCCTTTTCCTCACACCTGAGTCAATATGTAACAATTTCTTCTGGAGAGAAATCCCAAAAATGTAAGGAATGTGGGAAATGCTTTGCTACTTTTACTCAACTTTCTGCTCATATGGAAGTTCATACTGGAGAAAAGCCCTTCCAGTGTAAAGAGTGTGGGAAGTGCTTTACAAGTAACACATACCTTAACGATCACAGGAAAATTCACACTGGAATAAAGTCGTACAAATGTGTGGAATGTGGGAAAGCCTTCCTGAGGTGGTCAGGCCTGACTGAACACTTACGAGGAGTTCACAGTGGAGAGAAGCCCTTTGTGTGTAAGGAATGTGGGAAAGCCTTCTCGAGATCCACTCAGCTTAATGAACACACCAGGACACACACTGGAGTCAAGCCCTATGAATGTAAGGACTGTGGGAAAGCCTTCACTCAGTACTCAGGCCTTGCCACCCACGTACGCATTCACAGTGGAGAGAAGCCCTTTCAGTGTAAGCAGTGTGGGAAAGCCTTCACTAGGACCTCAGGCCTTATTCACCATGTGAGAACACACACAGGCGAGAAGCCTTTTGAGTGTATTCATTGTGGGAAAACCTTCATTACTGCCTCCCACCGTACTAAACATATGAAAATTCACAGTGGGGAAAAGCCCTTTGTGTGCAATATCTGTGGGAAGGCGTTTGTATACTCCACATCCCTTAACATTCACATGCGAACGCACACTGGAGAGAAACCTTACATCTGTAAGGAATGTGGGAAAGCGTTTGCTGTTTCCTCACGCTTAAGCAAACATGCAAGTGTTCACCATGGGGAGAAGGCCTATAAATGTGAGGGTATCAGTGTTGCTATTTAGCCCCTCTGTGGCCACCCTTAAATACTGACAGTGACACCAAAGATCATTGGTTAGTCTTATCTGCTTTGTGTGAGTTGTAATGGCTCCCACTGGCATAGGTGCCACCTGTTCATCTGACTTTGAGTTCCCCTCTGGAACTTATTTTTGGTAGCGCTGGGGATGAACCCTAGAGCCTCACACATACTAGGCAAGCACTCTTCTACTGAGCTACATTGCTGACCCCTTAAACTGTTTCACACATAGCTAAGTCTGAGCACTTTTGGGGGTTATGGTGAGGTCACTACTGCAGGTTGACCTTGACTGGTGCTTGGACACCTGGTGATGGTAGCATTAACAAATGCTATGCATGCGTGTCCAACCTTTGACTTGCTTGGCCTCATTGATTGCGGCACATATATAATGTAGTTAATGTATATATTTAACAAAATTTCCTTTTAAAAATATTTTTATGATAATACTAAATAAAATAAGGTAAGCAACCTGTAGTTATAGGGTGGACCTGCCTGCATGAGATAACAGATTTGGTTCTGCCCCTTGTTGGTTAACGGCTGGCTATTCATCTGAAAATTCTCCAGAGCCCCAGCTGGTACAGGACCAGGTGGACTGATGAAAGGCATTCCTCTGGGTGTCCTTTGAGCCCATTGATCGTGCTAAGCATGCCAAGAAGGAAATGGTCCCTATCTGTTCGCAATGACTAGTTCACATTTGTAACTAATTACCCCTGTGTTTCCTTATAATATCTAAGAAGTCTACCTTGTTCCCTAGATCTATTTTACCTGTCATGGTTTTTTTTTTTTGGTACTGGGAATCGAACTCAGAACCTTGCGCTTGCCAGGCAGGCACTGTGCCGCTGAGCTATATCCACAGCCCTATATCTATTTTAGATCCAAGTAGTAATTCCTCTGCGAGTATAATCCCATCTCTTCTCTTTTATGTTGAGATTGCTAATATCCCAGCCATGGGTCCCATCCTTGATGTCTTTATCAAATGCTTTTTCAGCCAGACTCTTTGTATTTTCAATCCAAGCTTTCTGAGTTTTTGTAAGATAAGCAGTATGATTTTTCCAAATTTCCCAATTCTGGTTCCTTTTAGTATAACAGTTCTTTGTTGGATTCAAGTTTTCACATTTTACTACATGTAATCACGTGGAGCCAAGCTCCTCTTTTAACACTTTAATTACAAACCTCAGATAAATTTTCGATTGTTATCACTCTTCAGTTCTACCTATCACAGATTGCTTGAATAGAGCTGTATTCCGGCAAGGTCTTCACTCACTCTACCCCACTTTCCTTTACCTCCCTCCTCCCTCCCTCCCTGTCATCTATCCCTTCACTTTGATGCTGGGGATTGAACCTATTCTAGGTTAAGTGCTCTACCACGGAGCTACATCAGTAGTTCTTTTTTTTTTTTTTTAAACATTTTATAGTACTCTGGATTGAACCCAGTGACTTCATGCTAAGCTGCATTCTCACCCTTTTATTTTTATTCTGAAATACACTATCACTAAATTGCCTTGTCTGAGTTTGATCCTCTAGCCTGTCTCCCACAATGCTGGGATTACAGGCTTGCACAGCAGGCCCAGCTTTTGTTTTAAGTTTTTAGAAAGAATCTTGGTAAATTGCCCAGGCTAGCCTTGCACTTGTAGTCCTGGTGCCTCAGTCTGTAAGGGAGCTGGAATTACAGGGTTGTGCTAACTCACCTGTTTTTGTGTTTCTCATTCCCAAATGACCAGTCACCTGTACATTCCTTCGTGTCCTGATTTTTTTTTTTTTTTTTTTTTTTGAGATAGACTCTCACTATGTAGTTCAGGCTGGCCTTCAATTCATGGCAACCCTTGTGCCTCAGCCTCCCAAGTTCTGGGATAACAGGCATGCACCACCATGCCTGGTGTGATGTCCTAATTTCTTGAGTGCACTTAAGAGCATTTTCAGCTTTTGCTTATTACTCAGATGTGCTTTTACATTTTTAGGATTTCTTCCTGCAGCACCACTTTTCAATACCAAAATCTATCATGCATTGCTTAGGCTGCCATAACAAATTTCCTCAACAAATGGCCTAAAATTTTATTTTGATTTAAATGTAAAAATGAAATGTACAGAAATTTATTTTCTCTCATTACTGATATTGGATGCCTAATATCAGAAGTACCAACCTGGTTGAGTTCTGATGAAGGCTGTCTTCCTGCCACTTAACTGCCTGCCTCTTCATTGTCTTCACATGATGGAGACTGAGAACGAGTTCCCTTTCTTTTCCTCTTTTGTGATCCTTAGCTTCCCAGAGTGCTGGGATTATAGGCATGCACTACCACACCTGGTTTGACCATTTTTAATATTAAATGTGATTATGTTTATGAATAAACATTATAAAAGATTTTTTGTAAATATATTTGAGTAGCACTGGCACGTAATTTTTCTTACATAAGGAAAAAAAATAGGGACTAAAGGTGTACTTCATTGGTAGTACACTTGCCTAAGCATTCATGAAATCTTGGGTTTAAGTTCCAGTACCATGAAAAAATTTAAAAAATCAGATGAAGTAGAAAAAATGCATTAAGGATGTATCTCAGGTAGAGTGCATATGTGTTCAATCCCTAGCACCACCAAAACAATTTTTTAAAGATGGCCATCATGGTATTTAGTAGATGTATGTAGATTATGCCAATATGATGTACTCTAGTGGGGTGTATACCTGTTTTACCTAATTTCATAAATTTATCAGGTTAAATTATCTAGATTTCGAGTAATTGTTTACTGCCATAGGTATCCTTTTTCTACAGTTTTAAGCAATTTGCTCAATTTCTTTCATGGTTATAGAACACTATGACTTGTAGCATCTTAAAGCATTTTGATTATATTTTTCTAGGTACGTTTTCATTTTCACATATGGAGCAAAGTTTATATATTTTTTCTTATTTTTAAACATTTCCTGGTTGTATAATTTACTTTGAGCATCTTTTGCATTCTGGAATGATTACTTTGTGCATTCTTTCTCTTGTGTTAGTCTCAGCAGAAGTATTCAGATTTGTGATCTCTCCTCCCCTTTCTTGCTATCCTTGGGATTGAACAGATGTTTCTCATATTAGGCAAGTGCTCCACCACTGAGCTGTATTCTAGTCAGGTTTGTGGCTTGTCTTGAAAAGTCTAACCTTTCTGCTGGGAATGTAGCTACTAGTAGAGTGCTTGCCTGTCATGTACAAGGCCCTGAGTTCAATCCCCAGTATTAAAAAAAAAAAAAAATTAATCTCCTATGCTTTCTATTCCTTTAATTATGTTAGTTAACTTACCTGGCCATATTCGCCTGGTTTTCTTTTTCTTTTGGTTTGTTTTTGGTGCTGGGGATCAAACCTAGGGCTTGCTTATGCTAGGCATGTGCTCTTATCACTGAGCTACACCCCTAAGCCCAGATGTGTCTTTATATATATTCGAGCAGGAAATGAAAAAAATCTGAATACTTGAAAACTTTCGACTAACAATCCTTTTCTTTTACCTTGACATTTAGTCCATTATGTGTAATGTAATTAGTAATAAATTTGAAATCATCTGATACCTTGTTTTTTGTTATTTATCTTGTACTTCCTTCTTGTATTGATTTTTCACTGAAATAATTTTAATCTTGATGCTTAAAATTTATCTATTCCATTACTTACTATCCTAAAACTTTTAATTCCTTTTTGAATTTGTGTTTGGTAATACTGTTTCCACCCAAGTGGACTAAGTATTTGCATACAGTCACTCCTACTTTGCACCTCCTGAGTGCACACTCCTTAATGTCACTAAGTGCAGTGCAGGCTCACACGAGCCACTGAACAAATGTGGAATCAAGATTAGAGCCCTTGAAAAAGCCCCAGCACATGTTGTAATGGATTACAAACAGCCACAGCTTCTTTGAAGTTATTCCCAAAATGATGAAGTCTTTGTTTCCCGTTTTTGTGTGAGCTGGTTTTAGGACTCTCTGACCAATAGAAATCAGAACTGAGCCGTTCCAAGGTCATCCGCATATGGCTTTTGATAATAACCACTACTTTCAGCTCATTGTTATTAGGTTGTTTGCTACACGGTAAAAACAGATTTGTAACACAAACTCCTTGGCACACAAGCTGATAAACTTTTTTCGTAATGAATCAGAGGAGCTTCCCGATCTAGGCTTACTCTTAGTAGTACTGAAAAGTTGTTAGTGGTCAGAGGTACTGAGCATCTCTGTGACCTGAGGTGAGGAGATAAAGTAAGTCAAGCTTTGAGCGCATCTTTTTCTGCTTAGGGATCCAGGGCACTCAGCAGAATTGAGGGCAGGAAAAAAAGTCGATGGGAAAGATGCAAGAGGATTGCAAATACATAGGAGAATCTTAAATCCTGCCAGTTATTTTAGTGATTGCCAAAAGCACCGTTACAACGCTCCGGGCCCTCTCGGATCCTTTCTGTTGGCCTGTGAACCTGCTAGCACGGGCGGAGGCAAGAGGGGTATGTTGGAAGGATCTAGAATGGCTATAACCAACTTGAAAATAGTGATTCCAACACCATCAGTGGTCCAGAGTGGTTTTTTTTTTTTTGGTAGCGGGGATCAAACTCGCGACCTCGCGCTTTCCAGCCAGGCACTGAGCCGCTGAGCTACATCCCCGACCCTAGTGTTCATTTTTGGGGCAACAATGTCATCCATTCTCCTAATGAGCTGTCTAGAGCGAGGGATCATGGAAGTGGGCGGCGCAGGTAGAAAAAAATCGAGCTTCATCTAGGTGAGGCCACAAAATGAGCCTTGCAATGGAAACCTTGCCACAGGCCTGATCCCGCCTCTAAGCCGGCCCCCACGCCTGGACTACGATCCGCCCGGAGCCCCGCCAACCTCCGTTCTGGCCTCTGCCCCTTCTTCGACCACCTGACCCCGCTGCGAGCCGGTGGCAGGACTCCGCCGCACTCCCGCGGGAGGAAGCTGGGACTCC